TCTGGTTTTTCATTGTTGCAAATGGTCTATAATGTTTTGGCTTAGGAATGTATCTCTACATGTTGAACTTGAAATGAGTAGAAATGAGTAGAAAGGCATTGTAAAGGGGACCTGGAAATAAAGAATGCGTTGTTAGATAATTCTGAGTTTTTCAGTGATTGCAGAGTACGGATTTTGTGTCATCGGCTGGAAAGCAAAGAAGCATAAATCTTTAAATAAACCAAAATTGAATTTGACTATGAAGTTTATCTTGCAACTAATGGAAAAGGTCAGCTGTTTTGTTTATCGGACCATGATTTGATCATAACATTCCTTCTGAAGTAACTGCAATAAATCTGGGTGTGGCCTTTTGTTTTCTGGAGCTATAATTAGCCATCTGGTGTACTTTACAACATGTTGTTAAAGAAAAAAAATCTTAAAATGAAGCATTTTACTCATTTTTCTCTCTCTCCATATATATGCATACACACATACATATGATGTATATGGTGACAACTGTGGAAGTGCAATAAAATGTATACAGAATGTTTAAGAAATGCTTGGGGGAAACTACCGTCAAAAAGACCCCCAAACCCAAAACATTATTTTATGCATAGATGCCAAAGCTGTATTTTTCTGTGCTATGTTTAGGGTCTTCTTATAACAGAACACATTTTTTTTTTTTTTTTTTTTTTTTACCAACAGATTTTTAAACAGCAGGGACATGCTTATTATTTACTGTTTTGGTATCTTTCCCTCATTTACATAAATACCCCAGAAACCAGCAGTTTAAAACTAATAAAAGCCAGGGCCCTCCATCAAGTGCAATAAAGTTTCACAACCATGAGTTGGACTGTTAGAGTGAAAAATAAACCTATATATGTGGCTATCAAGGGGTTTGGGGGGAAAGTGTATAATCACATTTCAAAGTTAGAACTTTCATTTGAAGAAGCAAGGCAATCATAATACTTAAACATTTATGTAGAATGCTTTATCTTTGAAACATTCTCTTAATATTGGCCAATTAATCTCTGCTGCTTCCCTAAGGAGCAGGTATTACTATCTGCCATTTTTCTAGTTATAAACTTGAGGAAGGTATGACCAACCCACCGAGGTAAGGACAGGGCAGACAAGTGTCTAGCCCTCATTATGTGGTGCCTCCTTGAGATGCAACTCCTAATAGAAGGCCTCAGATTTCTGTTCCACATTGATGAAATCATTAACAAAACAAAGATAGAAACAGTAGGTCAATCTGCCTCAGGCTTTCAGATGCAGTTTTACCTTCTGAGGTCACCTTTTGGGAAGAATGGGATATAGAAAAGATGCGGAAGAGCCACAGCGCATGTCATCTGTACTTGCAATGGGTGAGTCTAAACTTCTTCCAGTGAGAAAAGCAAAGTCAGATGCTCCCTCCCTCCCCGAAACCCCCACCTTCACAACATCTTGGCAACTTAATTTATAGTTTTTCAAATCAGATTGACTGTGATCAGTACATTCAAAGAGTGGAACAAATTTGTTATGTACATTAAAGCCAGAGGAACAGTCAAATAAAACTAATAAATATTTACATTTTTGGCAATAGAATTAATGGATGCTTGAGAAATTCTGAAAGATAAACATTTAAATGTTAAAATACGTATTTCCTTCCCCACAGGGACAGGGTGGGGAATTAATGAGATAATAAATGCGAAGTGCTTTGAGCTCTTTAGAAGAAAAGTGCCAGATGAATGCAAATGATTATTGTTAAAACTTTCAGATGGTTACTAATATATTACTTATGATAAAGTACATCTTTTTATACTTGAAATATAGGATTCTTGAAATTCTTAGGCTGGGATAGCTGAGACCATGCTCCCCAAACTCCTCCTAGGTCTCTCCACATTGTATTGGGAGTTATTTTTAACCCTTCCCCATTTTAGTGACCGCATACCTATCTTTCAAACAAAACTATGGAGCATGACTTCACAGCTTTCAAACTTTCCTGCAACATCCCATCACTAGTTCTCCAACAGATTCTCACAGATCCATGGTCAGAGAAGAATTCCACTGACACCCCTTTCTCTGCTCCTGATTTCTTCGATCACATAATTGTAACACCTCCCAATGCTAAGCATTGTGCAAGTTGATTTTATTAGCAGGAAGTGTGTGTGAGTTAAACTGTCCCTCTGTACTTTAAGCAATACAATCATCCTATATAATAAAAGCCTAATATGCTAAGTGTCTGACCGTTCAACCACTTGACCAGTCGCTATGATGCGCACTGACCACCAGGGGGCAGACTGTCTGATCGGCAGGTTAGCTGGCTGCTGGGATCTGGCTGATCGGGACTGGGTGAGATGGGCAGACATGCCCTGGAGCCCTTCTGCGGTCCCTCCCCAGCCCCGATCTCTCGCAATCTGGGACCCCTTGGAGGATGTAGGAGAGCCGGTTTTGGCCCCATCCTTGCAGGCCAGGCTGAGGGACCCCCCCCCCCGGTGCACGAATCCATGCACTGGGCCTCTAGTTTGTTATAAAAGAGTGCAAGTCCTTTGAATGATCAAAGACAAGTGACATTCAACTTTCTACACAACATGCTAGAATGTGTGGTAAAAGAATGCAAATCCCACATAAATTTCTTTTCATTTAGTCTGAGACATGGAATGATATACCCTCACTAAATCGCATTCTCCTCATATGTAAAATAAAGACAGTAGTAATACCTACCCACAGAGATTGTTGAAAAGATACAATAAAATAATGCATACAAAGCGTCTACTACAGTATACACCTAGCCCACAATGTTTTCAATAACAGGTAATGTAAGTAGATAGTGGAAGGTAGGTAAGTAGATAGCACAGTTTGTCATTAAATATCTATTTAGATTATTTAAAATCAATAGAAAATGATATGTAAAGGAAGATACTTATCATCATCCAATAATGTGCTCCTAAATGGTTAGCACATTTTGCTTCTCAAACCACTGCAAACATTCAGTATTAAATAAAGATGGCTCTACTGTTAAATGTTTGCTTCTCCTAAAAGTTTCTGGGGAAAAAAAGACACATCATTAAAAAAGCACACCGCTTATTGACAAAGATTTCAGTTTCTTATGTAGAGTAGTAAAAACTAAGTAATTCATCACAATTAATTTATGTTTGGGATACATTATACACATAGATATAATTTTTTTTCAAACTCCCTTAGTTTAGCAATAGCACAGTATCTTTGCTGCATACATGTGCTAAAAGATAATAGACTATGCTTCTTTTCAAATGTTCTGTAATTAAAATATTTCACTAATTTAATCTGGTCCTCTGGCTTCTTCCACTTAATTACTTGAAGTGATTGTCTTATTATACCAATTTTTCTCCTTTCATTTTGAAGCTGTAGGTTTTTAGGTAGAGAACCTTACTGCCAATCACTTTCTAATGAGACCTGAATCTGAATATAAGGCCAGAATTTGGAAACAGGCATTCTGTAGTGTATGCAGAGAAGGAAACTGCATTGTTTGAAAAACCGATCATGTGGGTAAAATAAAAAAAAAAGTACCAGAGAGGGAACTCATTTGACTATTGCCAGCAGCTTGAGGCTCCAGAGTGCTAATCAAAATTCACACACAAAACTTCCCCAATAGATTTCACCGTTTTGTACTGTTAAGAGGGGATCTCGCCATGTGAAAGATCACTGCTGTGCTGAACAAAACAGAGACAGTTTTCTTTTAAAGTCCAGAGCAGATGAGAGCCATAAGGAGACAGAGGGTTTCATTTACTCTCAGGACACGATTGTGCCAGTGAACTAATGAGTCTCTTGGACCTTATGTTGCTCTGGCTTCAATCGAGGGGAGACTCTAATGGGCATGTAGTACTTCCTATCCGTCAAGTGTCTGGACAATGGGCCCCTCATATGGATTAGAGCGATCTGGCAAGAAAAAGAGGTCATCCTTGTACCTAGCACAGGCAGGAAACCTGGCTAATTAATGTATTTCCAACTATAGCAAGACAAAAGCTGACACACACACAAATGTTAATTTTATTGCAGAAACTCAGCCTGAGGCATAGTTTAAAACTTATGGAAATCCCTTAGGTAAAAAATACCTCTCCTTTCCCCAACACCCTCCAGTATTTATAAAGATATCATTCTTTAAAACAACTATGTGACTTGCTTCTTTCACCCTTTGTTAAGGTTGGATGATGAATAAATATTTTGAACAGTTACAAAGGAAATGCTGAGAGTTAGTGTCAGCGCTGCATAATTTTAACAATTGGCCCTTTAACAGAGACTGTTGAATTAAGCTTGTAAAAATACTACTGCTCTATTCAATAGAGCACACAAATGTTTGTTCAAGCCAGAAGGCTCCAGTTACACGACATCTTAAACTAAGAGCAGATACTGCCACCTAGATAAATTCTGATGCTGTGGTGAACTAAATGTTGGCTTACCTTCCTTTTTGAAAAATAGCAACAACAAACAATAGTGGCTTGGCGCAATAAAATACAGTGAATGATAAAGGGTCACTTTAAAAATCCATACAAATGTAATTTTCTTTAGAAGGAGACATTTTTGTTTTGCCAAATATCAATGGTTAATCCTTTATTTAACTTTTTAAATGCAGAAGACAAATTACTATTAGAAATAGGAGGAGGACACTTTATAAAACATTCAAACAAAATCTCCACTATCCTGAAGTTTAGAAAGAAGTAGATGCAGAGGTGATATCAGTAAGACTTGTACATTTCTTGTTGGATATTTCCCCCCTTAGTTTGGAAAGAGGAAGAGAAACACAAATCGGTTTTGGTTTAATAAGTAAAATACGATCACGTAACATTTTTTTAGAGCATTACATTATAGTCTGTGCTGATACACTTCCTAGCAAACAAAGCAAACTAACTTTTTCCCTCCTCCTTTATTCCTAACAGTAAAAGAAACGTTGCCTTTTTAGCTCTAGTTGGAATCTAAACTCAGTCATGTATTCCAGGATCATAAACATATCAGGCTCAGAGAGGTATTTTTCTTATCATCTTTAGATTGTAGCTCTTCTTCAAATCGCTTTTTGTTTTCCTCTGTTACTCCCAGAATGACTTCAACCTCATCAATGATGGCCTGTAAATGAACAATAAAAACGACATTCATGACTTAAACATTTCTTACAACTCTCCCCCTCCCTCCTCGCCCCCACAAGTCTCCCCACCACTAAGCATTTGTTCCTTTTTAAGTTAATGGTGATTTAGATTACTTTGACTCAAAGTGTGCTCCACCAACCAGCACCATCTACAAGTTGCTGGTTGTCAGTCCTGATGAAATGAATATAAAAACTGTAAGAACTTGGAAATATTTATAGAAATTTTAATGTCTATTAAATATAATAATGAAAAAATGGGCTTCTATTGTGTACATCTTTAATTTGAGTTTTTATTATATTATTATTATTATTATTTTTTATCAAGAAAGGAAGTTGGCCCTGGCCAGTGTGGCTCAGTTGGTTGTAGGTTTGATTCCCAGTCAGGGCACATACCTAGGTTGGGGGTTCAATTCCCAGTCAGGGCGTGTAGAGGAGGCAACCAATCAATGTCTCTCTCTCATTGATGTTTCTCTCTCCCTCCCTCTCTGGAAAAAAAAAGGATGTTGGATTTTATTAAATGTTTTTTTCTGAATTACCTTCCACTTTCTTTTTAAATATATTTTATTGATTTTTTACAGAGAGGAGGGGAGATGGATAGAGAGTTAGAAACATCGATTAGCTGCTTCCTGCACACTCTCAACTGGGGATGTGCCCGCAACCAAGGTACATGCCCTTGACCAGAATTGAACTTGGGACCCTTCAGTCCGCAGGCTGACGCTCTATCCACTGAGCCAAACCGGTTAGGGCAAATTACCTTCCATTTTCATTCAGCCTTTACTTTGCTAGTAAATCCTTGTTGCTAAACTAAAAAGATTTATTAGAATGTCATGAGGATATACTACCCAAAATGAATCTATTTCACTTTTCAAGTTTTTATTATTCCTATTTTGTTGAAATTTAACCTTTTTACCTTTTGACCTTCTATCAAGAGTAAGCATATCAAGATAATAATGATTCACATGAGAAGGCTAGAAACCATGATATATTTAAAATCGACTTTCGAACATCTAACCTGATAGTTTTGGGAGTCAGACAAAGGGCAGAGAAAGAGCCTTCATTGTGCCATGAGTAGTTGGCTTTGCCAACCTCAAGTCCAAACTCTGAGCCCACTAAATCCGTGTAGTTTGGGGATATACCATCTGTCATAGTATGCAGGCTGCTATAACAAACTACCACAGACTGGGTGGCTTAAACAACTCAAATTTCTTTCTCACAGTTCTGGAGGCTGGGAAGTCCAAGGTCAATGTGCTGGCCAATTCAGTTCCTGGCTTGCAGACAACCAGGTTTTTGCTGTAGCCTCACATGGTGGGGAGAGGGTAAGCAAATGCTCTGGTCTCTTATAAGGGCCCCATCATTCCCACACCACCCTCATGACCTCATTTCAACATAATTCCCTTCCATCTCTATATACTGTCACTTTGGGGTTAAGGTTTCAACAGGTGACGTTTGGGAGGACAAAATTAAGTCCATAGCACCGTCTGATTCTGATTATGAACTACATTTTGACAGACTAATCTGATCATGTGCAGTCAGTCTTAGAATTTTGTGTATGGCAGTAATGACAAGATGATGCTAGCTCGCAGTAACTTAGAATATAAACACTGAGCATAGATCCTTTAGGACCTGTGAAAGTGATTACAACACTGGGCCGTTTTAAAATTAAATCTTCTCAGTCATGTTATGGGAAAAGCAGTGGTCAATCTTGCAACTCATAAAGTCACATTGAAGAGTACATCACATTGAATTATTATCATCATCACCATTACTAGAAGGACCGGGGCCTAGCTCAAGGAAAAAACATATTAAAAAATCCTATTCTTATCAAGCTTTTGTTGGGCTTTCCATGTAAGAGAAAAATGACATGTAGGTTCCAGTTGAGACCTTCGAGTTACTTGACCCATTTAAACATGATGAAGGCGCAGGTTGGAAATCCAATGAAAATTTTGATCACCAATACTAGATGTTCATTTCTGCTCGGCGGGTATTTTAAAACCTCTTGTACAGATCTTGCTCCTGTTTTCAGGAGTCTCGAGACATTTAGTCAATTACACATGACTGTATTATCTGGAAGCTTCAACAGTTAGTGAGGGAACATCTACCCACTTTGGAGGAACAGGGTGGAGTAGATGGCTCACGTATGTGCTGAGCTTTTCCCTAAACACACTGTCCTTCCTGGCCTCAGAACTCCTCTGTCCTAGAAGCTTGGGCTCGCCAGGAATCCCTTACCAGACACTGAAATGTAGGTAGATTATAGCCAGGAATTTTTTTTTTTCTGCAACAGTCTCTGTTTGGGCTCCATTGTGATGTTTTCATTTCAGTTCCAACATCAGAAAGCCCGGTTGTAGTGTCAGCGTGGGTTTGGAAATGGTAGCAAGTTAAAATAAGACGACCATATTTCAAAGAAAAAGTTTCAAACTATTACGTTTAACTAACGGGTTCAGTGAGAACCTTACAGTATTGACCCTGCACATTGTAAAAGTGTACTGCTTACAATTAAAAAAAAATGGTTTAGCGCTTGTTTACAATACAGCATGAGGTATTTTCAGCCCTTGTATAGAAATCAACCAGGATCGTTAGTTAATTAACACCTCACCTTAAAATTGGTCTCGCCTTGCATATTAGGTGCTGATATTTCTTGATGGATGACGAAGAGATTGCGAGCAAAGGTCATGAGGACCCCCTGGAGATCCTCACCGATTGTTCTGTTAATGATATCCAAACAAATGAGTTTACCAATGATTCCCCTCACATGCTTAAAAACAATCACCCTCTCATTTGTGCCTGTCTGGTGATGGAATTTAATGAGTATTTTCAATCTCACAAGGTGGCAATCTTCAGGGAGATATGAAAGATGAGGCTCCATTTTAACTTGTCAACAAAAAGGATTTGTGTAATAAATATTTTTTATTAATCAACTTAGCAGAATATAGGAATAGATTCAGTCATTTGTAGCCAAAGGCTACCACTGAGTGAGGACAGGAGTATTGAGAAGCTCATTTTAAAAATTGTTTAAGTTAGTTTAATAGAATCGTTGCTAAGTGTAATTCATGCCTAACAATTTCCTTGCCTACAGAGACATTTGCACCTCAGTATTATTTTCTACTTCATGTATACAAGTGACTCCTTCTACTACTTATAAGTGGTGCCCTACCCACATTGAGAAATGACAGCAAGCTGAAATAAGACTACTATATTTCAAAGAAAATGCCTCTTTCATGGGCAGCTATCTTTATAAAGCTGAACACACGCTTTAAGAAAATCTCAGTGATGACTTGCAAACCATCCTGTAGAATACTACTGTGTTTCTAAACAACTAGATCATTGTAAATTTTAATTTGAAAACCGCCAAGGTATTTATTTCTAGCTATTTTTTGAACTTTATCAATAGAAAAGAATAGATTAAATGAATGAGTTAATTTAAAAAAATTGTTCTGTCCTGAGGGGCTGAACCTAAAGAGCTAGTTGCTCCTTAAGTCAGCTGCAAAAAAACTTTGCAATTACTTCTTTCCTAGTTGTTACCTGTGAAATAAATCACCTTAGAATCTCAGACCTAGACCTTTTGGGAAGGCTGCCTTCCAACCTGATCCTGCTTTCCCTGGGGTCAGGGTGGGACTAGAAAGCTTCCCAGGGCCCAAGGCAGGAGACCAGGGTTCTTTCTCCTGCTACTGACTGTGTGACTTTGGGGACAGTTACTTGATCTCTCTGGGTCTTCATTTCTTTATCTCTGAAATGAAGGAATTGGATTAGATCAGTGCTCCCAAACTTTGTGAGGTATATTTCCCACATCTAAAGACTGCCCAACCCCATCCCCTTATAGCTACTGAACGTTGGTGTCTCTTCTTTTAGGAGTATAAATATCACTCAAGGCAACTTCAGAATAGATCATTTAAAAAAGGTATTTGTGTTTTATTGCCACAGGGTCAGTATATATTAGACCCCAGATGCTCCTAAAATAGCAGATTCCCAGGCTCTCCCCCAGATCAATAAAATCCTAATCTTTGGACTTGGAAGCCAGGAATATGCAGTTTCACCAAGTCTCCCAGATGATTTTGATATAAACAAAATATTGAAACCCATACTTCAAAAAAGTATAGTTGTGTGTACGTGTGTGTATGATGTAGAGGCCCACATACTGCTGGGGTTCATGGTCCTCAGATTGGGAACTAAGAGGCTGGATGGACTTTAATTAATTTAGGTCCTTATTAATTAATTCATTTCTAGAATTTCCTTCACTTTGACTTCCCTGAAATTTCTCTTCAAATTCCACTATTCCAGGAAATATTCCGATGTAAATGGAGCTGGTATGAAGTTATCTTGGTAAAGCTAAGCCACAAAGTTCTGGTATATAAGGTCATCCCATCCTGGAACCCTCACCTTTCCTAAAGAGGTGGCCATGTAACCTTCTTCACCCAATAGGACCTGGTCACAGTAAAGCCAAGTGGAGCCCAGCCCTCTCATGGAAAGCTTCTCCTTAAAGCACCAGAGAAAATTCAAGCAACATGAAGGGGGAAAGCTTTTATCTGCTCACCTCTTCCTTTTCAATTCGAGTTCTAGAAAATGAGGACTGTCTCCTGGCCACTGTCTATTAAGTTGTCTATTTTCAACCTCCATGTCCATGCCGTAGTGCAATCCCTGCATACTAGCTACAATTCCACCCTTTCATCTTACACTCAAGAAAGCACAACTAGATGCAAGTGAGAATCTCAGCAATAATCTTCAATCCTATCTACTAGAAAAAGTAATTTAGTAAGCTCAATATAAACTTGTATAAGTAGTGAAGCACCTCACAATAGGCTGAGAATCTCTATATTCCAGAAAAGTGTTCGAAGGTGGCCACACAATATAGTCATTGTGGTGTAGTGAAAAGAACAATGGATTTGAGGTCAGGAGACACAATCTACTGTGTGACCTCTAATGGGATTATTTCTTAGAATAGTGGAATAACCATCTAGAAGATACACCAATAAGACTATTTCTACCACCAAAGCTAGTCTGCAGGTCAAGGCATCCTTGCCTGATATCTCAGGGGCAGGCGTAGCCACAGTTGGGCGGATTCCTCCTGGTCTAATTATTCATTCTGTAGGTTTCAGCATCAAGTCAACCTTGCTGCTTGGTCAGTTTGATGATTGGGGGTGTTCCTTTTTCACAAAACAGCCTCTTCTTCCAACTCCTAAATTCTGTGATAGTTTTCTTCTCGCCTGTTCCTCTATGTCCTAGTACCCACCTGGATAAAGCTTTCCAGGGCCCATACTTCAGGAACTCTGCCCCTGCCCTGTTAACACTATCCTTGCCTCATACTGTCAGTTCTGGGACACCAGTCCTGAGTGTCAGCTTTTGCTAATGGGCTCCCTTCATGCACCCCTTGCCGACCCGGGTCTCTGAAAGCAGCCTCTTCTCTGAGCTCCTACGGTCTTGCTCCTTCCACCCAGACCTCAGGTTGTCCATTTTCTCTTTGTAGTTGGAACATTCCTGGCTGGTGCTGCTTGTTGGGATGACCTCCAGGTTCCTGAACCCTGTTTATTTTTTGCTTGTTTGGCTGTTTTTTTCTGAAGGGCAGTCACCCCTCCCAGCCTTGTCCCCCATGCGTGGGGTTTGCCTAGTTCCCCTCCCAGCCCTGCTTGTCCTTTTCAGGCGACCTTTGGTGCCAGCCAGTGCCCAGTGAGGTGGAGTTCAAATCTCTGTGTTCTGACTTCTAGTTCTTGTACTTAACTAATCCATTGTCTGAATTCCTGAGCTTAGACATGTACTTGGACCTTGAACCTTACTGGATCAGTCAGAATCATAACTATACACATTTCATATTCCCCAGCTTGCCAACTTCAAATCCAGTTGAATGTTTGGTTCTCCCAGTCCCAGTAACTGCCTGGTGGCCTATGTTCTGCCACAGCCCTGGCATCAGTGACAAGTTTGGAGGGAGTGGAACAGGAAGTATTTCATCTCTGGTGTTCTGGCTACTGGTGCCCTTTCCTGACTTATTGGGAGTCGACATGCTAAATCATTTATAATGCCTGTTACAACTGATAATACTTTGGTAAAACAAAGGACTGTACTTTGGATAGGGAGTAGAGACCTGTGCGCATCTCTGCCTGTTTTCATGTGGGACCAGTGTCTAGGAGACTGAACATCTGGGGAGAAACTGAGGCTGTTCAGGAACATTGATACTTAACAGAGGAATTGGCTCTTGCTTGGTCAGTTTTTATAAGAACAGGTCTGAGCTTGTGTGTTTCAATGTGAGGTCACACTGCTCTAGATGTTATAAGGAGAGACATATAGGGCAGAAACGGTTTCCCAATAAATTAGGATGACTTTAAAGGACCCACTCACCATATTCCAAGATATGAAATAAGACACAATTCAAGATGGTGGATCTAAAGTTCTGAGTCCTAGATGAGGAGACAACTTTGCCTGCTCTCCAATATCCCCTGGAGAGAAGTTCCTAGGAAACGGGGGAGCACAGAGAAGCCTCCTGAGCGCCCCAGCGGGGCTCTTCTCAGCTCACGTGCATCTTGAGAAGACTGGACCGCGGCCAAAACTGGGTATGAGGAGGGGCCACAGACCCTGCTTTTTTGGGGGGAGGGGCATTTGCCAAAGGCACCAGAACACTTTTCTAAGTATGCCAGTAAGCCCTTCCACAACTACAACAGCTGAGCTTGCTCATCATGAGTCAGATTGTGTGTGTGTGTGTGTGTGTGTGTGTGTAATATGATTACCAGACTAGCCTCTTACTCATCAATCTGAATAATTAATCAATTATATTCATGAACTCCCACTGACACATCTAAAGTCATTGTGTGAAACACTTGAAGATCTAAATAAAATAAGTTAGACTTCCAACAAATGAGCATGCTGATTTAAAAAAGAACCTCATAGACAGACAACAGTATGGTGATTACCAGAGGAAAATGGGGGTGGGGGAGGGAGGGGAGGCTAAAGGGAGGATACATGGTGATGAAAGGAGACTTAACTTGGGGTAGTGAACACACAATACAATATACAGATGATGAATGATAGAATTGTACATCTTAGGCCTATATAATTTTATTAACCAATGTAACCCCAATAAATTCAATTTACAAATTTCTCAAAAAATGCATGTGAAGTGTCATACTTGTCGGTTGTCATAGTCTATTTTCTTAGCTTATTGTATCTCCTAGACATACTCACAACATTCCCAACTTGTTTCTCTTCAAGTGTTCATATAATATGAAAACAGTTCCTTTTCTGTCCTATACAATTTGAATGGGGAGAAAAGAAATAGCATGTTATGTTGAAACAAAGTAAAGGAAATGTACTGTACTATGACACTAAGGCAGATTTGAATTGAAGTCTAAAGCTAACTGGAAATACTGTGAGAAGTACAGTGGGAAAGGCTGTCTCCAGAATATGGAGCAGATATATTCTAGGACAGTGTCGTTGTTTTTCAATTGAGATATAATTTACATATAACATTGTGTAAATTTAAGGTGTACAACATGTTCATTGGATATATTAATATATTGCAATACGATTACCACTGTGGCTTTAGCTAAGACCTTTATCACATCACATTATTTCTTTTTTACAATGATAACATTTAGGATCTAGTCTTTTAGCAATTCTGAAGTATATAATACAGTATTGTTGACTATAATCACTATGCTGTGCATTATTAGACTTCATCTTCTTTGTACCCTTTAACAATATATCTACAATTCCCACCTCC